TCAATGTGATGGGATTCAGAGCTCTTTAAAGCAAGCGAACAAACAAAAAAAATTTAAAAACCCACCCACACAAAATTAAAGAAAAAAAACAGACCAAAAACCCACGAGGCTGTGCCAAAGGGAACAAGGACTTCCAACCACCCCCAGGGCAACCCAACATACTCAGCTCTCACAGGTTTCTTTGAAAAGACTTTGACTCAGTCCTCCACAAACACTTCTAAAACACCGCAGCTGAACAGTTCTGCAAATTATTGAGTAATGAGCAAATTGAACTGTGTATTTATAAATTAGAGCACCACTAATTTGAGCCCTTAGGCAGCACAGACCAGAAAAAGTGAATCAAAATCACATCCCTTTTTTCCTTTATATTTAAAAGTGTCTTCCTGGACCTGCATACATTTGTACTCAGCTAATTTACCCATAAGAATTTCTCCTTTACACCAGGAAAAAATAAATTCTGCAATTACAGGGTTATCTACAAGAATGCATACGGCATTTTCTTCCTTTATCCTACACCCGATGCAAGAAGGACAGCCTCAAAAAAGGCACTATAAATTCTCCATAAACCACATCAGGAATAACCGTAAAGATCTGCTGAAAGGTCTTAAATGTTCCTGAATCTGTCCCACATTCCTTTACCCCATCTCCCTGTAGGACTGTGCAGTTCAGCGGACAAGCTCAAACTATTCCAGAGGAGCCGAGGGCAAATAAAGACTTATTTTTGGCACAGATCCTCCCTCCCCCATGATTTCCCAGTGAATGCTTTTCACTGTTTGCTACTGAGAAGAGACTCTTAAAGCTAAGAGACTGGACTTGAGAGCTTTCAAACCTTACTAGTAGGTTAAGAGTCATCATTTCTTCTCTCATCTTTCACCTCACTATCTTCTCCAAACTACCTCTTCTCCTTCCTGTACCACAGTGAAACAGAGAAAACAATATGCAAGCACAGCACTTCAATATTTTTTTTATCATTTTTCTTCCGGTTACTCAAGATTTCTAGCTCTTGGGACCTCTTCTATTTGCTGAGGTTGTAATAAGCTTTTTCCAAAAGCTTACAAGCTGATTGCAAGTTTGATATGGGAACATTCAACCCCATCCTAGTAGCCTGGAGAGATCTGCCTGAATTTTCAGACACACTCTTTTGTTAAATAAAACTTCTCTTCTTAGATTGGTTTGCTTGAAAACCTCCAAGCCTGGGATTTGGCAGAGAGGAGTCTTTTCAGGACGGGACGCACTCACATTTCAGAATCCTTCCCGACTTCCCCTGCTTTTTCACCATTATTCGTGGACTAAAAAGAGTCCAAACTGATTTCCCCCATTGCGTTTCGGGGTTAAGCAGGAAGACCATGTGCCAGCCGCTTCTCACAGCAAGACCTCCTTTCCCCGCACGATCCGTACAGCTGGGGGCACATCCTCAACACGGTCCAACACACCAGTCTCTCCCATCACATTTCTGATAATTTGGGAGGCTTCCCTTCAACACACAGCCCAAAAGCATTTGTCTGACCAGCCATTCCATCAGCCAGGGCAAGGACCCTCGTCCTCTGCCTACCTCGGGACAAACCTGAACCTTATTTAAAGGTTTACCATCCCAACATCGATCTGAAAACAGGCTCCAAAGTTCATCCAGGTCTAAAACTAAGCCTGACATGGGAATCAAAAGGTGGCCAGAAAAGATGCTACCCGCTTCATTCCTTATGCGCTATTTCTTACAGAAACCATAACCGCACTGCTCTGAAGCTCAGGAAGAGCCTTTGATCTTTATCTACACTGAGGAAAATTTCACTTTCAGACTGAGACAGTAAAAATAGGCCACAGACCTTAAGGGCCTGCACTGCAACTCAATAATGGGTTTAGTGAGGTTCTAAACTGGACCAGTAAAGCACTGCACAGCTGTGATTTTTACTCACAGGATGTGAATCCAACTTCACATTCCCAGGGTATTACTTCTTTTTTTTTTTAAATAAAGGGTCATTCCTTGAGACTCTACTTATGTTCCTGAATGGTACCTGATGAATGCACAAGACTGAAGACCTTTCCCCTTCCTGCTGCATCTAACGTGCAAAAAGAGCTGGAGGGGGGTGGGGTGGAAGAGGCAGCAGAAGAGGCTGTCCTGGCTCCACGGGACATCTAGGCTCAAACACCGGGGAGAAAGACTCAGTCAGTGGTCCTCCAGTGGAAAGGTGCTGCGGGAGGAATTGCAGGGAGCATTTTAACTCATTACACTCAGTGCTGAAGTATTTGCAATGATGATAGTTACACATGTTGTGACCCTTGGAGTTTGTTGCAACACTTATTTCGCCCAAAGCCTTTCCTGTCCCCACGATTAAGTACACAAGTAGCATTCTCATTGTAAAGTCTGTTTTCAGTTGCTTGTAGCTTTCCAAAAAATTCCCCTTAGGGGCTGAAACATTCTAAGGTTGATCTCAGCCCAGAGGCAACTCTTTTACTGCCCTCCAATCGACCAGCTTAGAAACATGCATTTGGTTACCCTTCAGCAGTGGGAAAGTGAGAAAATAGATGATTTGGCAGTTTAAGACTCTTCCTTTCATGGGTATTCAGAGACCCCCTTAGGGAATAGGAGAGGGGAAGCATGGGGACGGCAGGGTAGAAAAAACAAAACATGAGATGCGAGCACTACATGGAGGGACTGAGGGAATAGCAAGGTTGGTGCAGTTGTAATCAATTAAATCACTTCCTAGACAACGTAAAACCACTCTACAAAATTAGTCCTTACAGCTTCAGAGAAGAAAATAACTTTCTGGGCTCAGCCAGACTCAGGCTACAAAGCTCTTTGAGATGGCGCTTGATCGGGAAGCAGTCAAAGAGACCTTTGTGTACATACCCCTATAAAACTTGGTATCGCTGATCTCTGTCATACTGTTACCCAAAAAGAAGTGCGACTCAGAAAGCTTAAATGCTACATCAGTATGGCTATCCAGCTCTCGCAGCCTCAAGCCTCTTCGGGTCATTTTCTTTTCACAGGTCGTCTTTTATTTCATGCCCATCATAAGTGGCTATTTTAAGGGGCTATAGAGAGGTGCTGAATGCTGATAAGGCAAATCCTGTATCCCTTAATCCACTGCTAAATCACTCTGCCAGGCTTCAAGGGTACCAGACAGATGGAGTGCACTAGGAAACTGCCCACAGGCTGGCTACTTCAACCCCAGCTCATCCTTAATCCAGAAAGGTTTTGTTCTGGTATTTTAATCATTGATTGACTGGGAACTTTCTTCCATGCTGGCTTAGGTAAAAAATCCATATGTCAGAGGTACTGGGGAATTCGTGAGGCTGTAGATCATAGGAGTGGTGTGAGACAGGATGTGTCTCAAGGGAACCGAGGAAGCCATAAGGAATGTAGAAAGTCACAGGGTTAAAGCCACATTAAGACAGCTGTTATGTTAATGAGAGTTCTGCTTTTCTTCTAGCTGTGGGTCATTGATTTAGAAAAACACAAACAAGGTCTTTTTCATTTTATCGTATTTTTCCACTGAAGCTAACATAGCCCAAAACCATCATATCCTAGATCCCCTTCGTCTTGCTAACAGAATTTGTGTAGAGAGTTATCTTTACGTTTGTGTGTGGACGATTCCCAGGGCTTGATTTGGTCTCCCCTGGCCCAAGTCTATACATCAAGCTGTTTTGCAAGCGTTTCACTCAGTAAACACGTTAAGAAAAGAGTCATGCGCCACCGAGTTTGCCTTCCAGACAAATTCAGCCATACATCTGATTTTCTCTCACAATCATAACAAGCACAAGAAATGTGGTGTGAAGTCTTCTGCAAAAACATTTAGCAGGTAAAACAGAAAAAGTCTGGACCTTTCAAAACAGGTTCTCAATAACAGAGCCACACTGCCATAGGCACGCTTGCCTTAAAATGTCAGAGGGATATTTTACGTTGCTTATTTCAGTTTGCAGAGTCTAAATGCCTCAGTTTGAGCTTCAGAGGTCAAAATAAAAAGAGAGTTTCACCAAAACAACCAAATTCACCTGTATCCTTGGGTTAGATCGCACGTTACTTCTCTTCCTTGGTTAGGTCACAAGCTACAACATGTTGCTTGTCACCCAACCACAGGTTTGCTTGTGAACACTTGCAGCTCGGGCTGATTGAAACAGGGCATGCTTGTCCAAATGACTTAGATGTCACGTCGTGAAAGAGCAGCAGAGGAGTCTGCCTGCAGTATTAAACATTTCACAGGACGTGCTGCTTCGCTGTGAGACAGAGCAAGTCCTAGTCTGAACCTGAACTCTGGAGTGCAGTTAATTCCAGAATTATCTGGCCGCTATTTGCCCATTTTTGGACATCTGAAAATCTAAGTTCACGCTTTCTTTTTTTTTTTTTAATTTCAATTAACTCCATGGTTTCTCCTCCAGCAAGTTAGCTTGTTTTAGACAGCCCAGATCAACATGAGGTTGTGAAGACCTGACAGTTGTTTGAGGGTTTCTTTCCTTTTGAATTAAACTGTCAGTAGAGATAAGAGAGATTACAAGGTTTAATTCAAGTTAACTTCAAAAGCTAAACATAAACTGTAGCCACTGCACCAGCAACCTTGCCCACTTGCATGGCTCTACAGGCGCACTGTCTTTTTTAAATGGTTTTCTCTCCTCTGCTAAGGCCTGAAAGACCCAAACGACAACACGTAAGCAACAGTTAAATAACTATAAACGGGCACAACATCTGATTTAATAACATTCAGAGTGCTGTCAAAATGCAAGCAAACTGGGATAACAGACCTTTTTTCCCAAGGGTTCCAAAGGTATTATATTCATGGTAGGTATGGAACCATCACTGGGGAAAACACAAAGTGTTTTTCAAGGCAGTTGTCCTAAACAGTTGGAAGACCAACGTCCACGTACAGACTCAAAAACCCCCAAGGCTGTAAACAACGTAGCTTCACATTTTCCTTCTACCCCAGAGCAGGATCACCTAAGAATATAAAAGGGCCAACCTGCTAACAGAAAAGGAAATTCCCTTTGTTAGGCAGCTTTTAAATACGTACCTGGACGCGAGCCTCTGTGAGTTTGGCTCGTTGTGCAAGTTCTTCCCTAGTATAAATATCAGGGTAGTGTGTCCTCTCAAAAGCTCTTTCCAGCTCTTCCAGTTGCTCTGCCGTGAAAGTCGTCCTGCTGCGACGCTGCTTTCTTTTTAAAGGTAAATCTGGTTCAGAATCGATGTCAGAGCCTTCATCAGACTGGGGTGCTGATGCTCAAAAGAGAAAAAAATGAAAGACCCATTAGCTTTAGTTGAACGGGGGGAGAAAAGCAAAATATTGGCCTAATCGCAGATATCCTCTTATAGGGAAAAGTTGCTTTTTCCTCATGACTCAGAACCGAGTCATCAAACTTCAAAAATCAAAAAGTGAGAAACGAATCAGACAGGTAAAAGTTACCTTGTGCAAATGTGCTCTAACACAGAAAGAATTGCCAAAAGTTCAGCTATGAGTCTAGCACCTTCTCTTGGCCCAAGAATATTTAAGAATAGAAAACTTTCTGTGTAAATGAATGATTAGATTTCTTTATTTTAACTCCTCCAGCAGTTTGCAAGTGTTTTCAAAACTTGAGCAGTACTGCTTAGTCCCGAGCCCTCAGAGAAGCAATATGGCCTAGCTCCTTTCCCTAAAATAGTGAACAGACACAAGGATTTGTCACACCAGTGGGCATACTGTAACGTAAACATTCCGACTCTAAAGACACACATCCATGAGACCTTCCTAGAGACCCATCACTAAACCTTTGTTGTTGAAATGGTTATGGAAGCGACTACAAAAGTACGGGGAGTGCTACTGACGAAATTAACTCTTGTACACAACCAAATACTTACTTCACGTCCTGTGTTCTCTGTCCTATGCTCCAAACAGTATTTTACACGTTTGTGTTAGCCTATCTCGGCACATTTAAACATTCCCGTTCATTTGCAACTTACTTGCCTGCCTCAGAACCACCTAACGTACCCTTAGGACAGGCCAGACAAGCGTTAATATTAAAACAAACAAACAAAACTTTAAGGCGCACGTTGCGCAGCGAAGTCCTGTAAGAATTGCTTGGAGCAACAGTTTGACTTGACTCTTGCAGTCACTAAAGCAAGAAGACTCCAGCATATGTGATGACCAGAGCTGAAATGGACTGCACGCTTCCTTCGCCTAAGGTTTCACTGTTATTCCTCCTAGCCTTGTGAAGTTTTCCAGCACTGAGCTCGGCTACATGCAGACGGCTGATGCTCAGCCTCCAGGCAACACTCCAGGATGTGACTGCAAAAGAGCCAGGCTCAGCTGGACCAAAGACCCCTCACACCCTGCCCCAGGTTGATGCTGAAGGAATTCGGCAAGAAACAGACCACGTACACACATCCGTCACTCAGGGAGGGGCTACCAGCCCTTGCTATCAGCAGTTTAAAGAGAAATCAGAACCAAAACTCTTTCTGGGTTTTGTGGACATAGAGAAAGCGAGGTCGCATGCACACAAAGCCAGCTCCTGGCATCATGGCTTGTTTTCCCTGAGCTCCCTGGCAAATCAAGGGAACTCCACAGCTACAGCTACGGGTTCAGCCCCGGCTGGGCTGTAGCTGAAGGCTGCAAAGCCTCTTCCAGTACCCAACCACATGCTCTTTCTCCAACACACAATAATGAACCAAAAGAGTCTACTTCCAAAGCCAGTCTTCACTCTCCTCAGCTGCTGTCCCAGGTGACAAGCATCCCTTCCTGCATGAGTCTTCCAGGGAAACCACCTAAAGAGGGCAGACACTCCCCAGCGATGCTGAAACTACTTGTTCAGTTGAAATATAAGCACTGCTTCTACAGCTTCAGTAAGGCCAAATAAATTATTGATACAGACATTGATTTAAATAATCTTCTTAATGTGATTTATTTGGAAGTAACTGAGAACACAAAGCGAAAAGAAACCGCTGTTTCTCAAGCTCCAGCTAAAACCCCCCACCATGTTCATTTCTAGCTATCTTACATTTCCAATTTCACTCAAGCTGTTTGAACTAATAAATACACCTAATCTGTTTACTTAGTCTTACAGCATGAGAAAGACAAAGTGCTTTTTCAGACAACTCAGCTGAAGAGTTTATGAATTTCTGCATACCAAAATAAATAAATAAATAAAAGAACAATTACTGCTAGACCAGAGGCTCCTATGTAAAAGCTATCTTCATTGTCCAGACACCATCAGCATCTTGGACCTAACATACACTGGGCATCAGGAGAAACTCCCACAGAGCTCAGCATCAATGTATTGCAAAAGCATCCAACTCCCAGAGGCTCTTACTCGCATGGAAGTTTTGCCCCAGGTAAAATGGGATTAAGCTGTTCTCCTTCTTGAGAATATTGTCCTTGAGAACAAACGGGCATCAGCACAAGCACCCTGACCCAAACAGTTCAAGTTCATTCCTTATTAAGCACAGATACCTATTAAGATATCTCTTAATCTAGGGTATCCCAAAATGAATGTAACACGTTGTCTTAATTAGTGACAAATCCCAAATCTTCTCAGTTGGAGTCCCAAGTGATGCCTGCCTTCCTGCCAAGTTACAACCCTCCAAGATGCCTTCATGCTGCTGTTCAAGAATAAAAAGAAACACAGGATATTTAAAATACGGTTTTCCCTATGTTAGCCCCAGACACCAACCACCCACCCTAGAGAGGAAGAGCACGCCAGCCCTGCTAATGGGGTCGTATGGGCTAGCGCTGCGCTCTCACCACCCTTGATGTGCCAAGATTGAAACACAGCTCAGGAAGGTCCCTTCGGGGGCAACTTCTCCAGCAAAAGTTGCCTTTGAGTGGATATGAGTTTAAAAATAAATAAGTGGATAAAACCCCCAGATCTCAGGAACTCTTTCAGACTCTACACATATGTATGGAACTTCTTCAAACATCTACATATACACCTATGAACAGCCAGCTTAAACCATGCTATTTTAAGTGGATATTTATCGCTACACTTCTGAAATGAATTCTCTCCCCAGCTGGGTGGGAAGTAGCAGACGACCTATAACATTCTTTCCAAAAATGTTTTATAAAGATTCAGTAAAAATCTTGCGGTGTTCACCTGCACCTTGCATTCACACCACAGTGAGAACGCAGAACTGAAATGCTGACTTAACTTCATTTCTGCTTCACATGCCACTAGGCAGTATGTGGAAGGCACGAAGGTAAACCAGTCAGAAGACTCCAGGACAATACCTCCAATCAAGGGCAAACACTTAGAGAGAAAGTAATGAAATTAAAGAAGGGAGAAATCACCTATCAGATGAAATGGCTTTCATCTCTATCTGATTTCACTGGCCCTTCAGCGGGCCTGGCTGCTTATGTGGAGCTTCACTGAAAACACTGAGTAAGTCTTACTAGTTTCAAGGAAGTTTTTCTTATTTTTTCCTATTAAAATACCTACGTAAACGTCTAATAATGGTAAGCCAAGCAGAGTATGGGCTAAGCACGTAACTTGCACACACCTCAGCCTTTTAAAAAGCGGTATTTATATGTGCCCAACAGCCACAGCATATTGCCCTTCTGCTAAGCAGTACCTCACGAACAGATCCACCGACTTCCAAGATATAAAAAGGCACTATTCAGCACAGGTAAAGGTGATCAGATTTTAGCTGGCTTATGTCTATCTCCATCACCTCCACAGACACACAGCACACACAGGACAGCTGTAAAGATTAGCCATAATAATCTTAATTCTCCAACCCCTTGAGCTATAAATAGGAGAAATAAGGAGACTCAGCAGTCTCCTCAGGCAGACCCCTCTGGATCACCGGTACCCCCCTTACTGCGCAGCTCCAACTGGAAGAGGCAGCCAAGAATACACTACCAGTAGCTGAGCCATGAAGCTTAATTAAAGAAGGAATAACAGAATTAAAGAGCAATTATTTGTCCCTTAACCCCTCATGACCTGTCTGGTGGCCTGAGGAAACGCTGCACGCTGGTTATCACCACGATGGGCAAAAACCCTTCGCCCAGTGTCGTAGGCGTTCGGTCACCTGTAGCTCTGCAACGATCCCTTTTCCAAACACTATAGACAGAGATGTCAGGGCAAAAACTGAACAACAAAACAACGTGTGAGAGGTCATTCTGTGGGTTGTTCTTCCTCTCAGCAAGACGTTTCATCTGAATAATTAAATAACAAAAACATGACAACCATTTAAAACCCCCACATTCCGGCTGCAGCACGGCGCACCTGACAAACGCAGGCAGAGGGATTCTCCTCCTGCGTCCAGCCAAGGCACAACTTCTCCAGCAGTCTTTCAGTCACACTGAAAGCTTTTAAATAAAACATTACACAGCCTCTTCCTCCAAGCGTAACGGCCTGGGGTCTGCCCTAGAAAAATTCTGCCTAGCCACAGACCTCGCTAAAATCCAACACAAAACCAAAATGCCAGGGAGGGCTCTGAGGGAGGTTTATTTGCTAACAACTCCCCTACTCCCCGGATCTTCCCCTTTCTTTCTTTAAGCAACATTAATTTCCCAGGCTCTCCCCCTCGCGCCACATCTCCGTTACTTAGGGCTGCGGGCGCTCCGCAC